ATGAATTTGTGAAACATCTTGTTGTTCCCCAATCTGCATTTTTTTTGTCTAGCTTCGGACACAACACTGCGCGGTATGAGCTGGATTCACAGAAGGTGACAGTCTTAATCCACGTGCTTGGTTAAACCCCAATAACACAAGCGCATACACATGCCGATAAGAGGATCTGTGTATAATTGTCATTACATAGCAATATCACCCCTTGCTAGCTAATGGAAAGTCAGCTACAACTCCTGCAATTGATGTACATAACACATCACTGGCATGTTTCTTTCCCACCCCACTGTTGTTCTGAGGTTTTCCTTTCACCTGCTCTCAGATGTCTCTGAGAAGTTAATCTCCCTGGATAGTCCCCATGGCTAAACACATCCTGGCTCTAGAGTTGAAGTAAAGGAGTGTTAGAGAAGGAGGGAGAGTTAATGACTTGAAAGAAGCTGTTTGCAAAGCGAGTAAGGGTAAAAGCAAAATGTTCCTGGTATCTGAAACTGACATTCCCCGCGGTGTGCAGAGCACAACAGAAAGCACTTTTCTTCTCAGCATTACAGCGCTCCTGCTCAGAGCAAGACCAGGACAAATCAGAGCTGAATAGCTACCCACAATGTCTGATCAAATCCTACTTCACCTCTGGTTTTGCAAGTGGTGTTAGCAATCCAGGGGGTTCTTGGCTCAATGGAAACAGGTAAGAGCTTGAGGTATGTAGTAAGCTCTTCAGGCCCTCAAACCTGCTTGTGGTATCATACCGACCTCTTTTGAAGTCCCACCAGTGTATGTGAGAGGCGCTTCAGCACCGCTAGAAGCTAGGATAGAGGTCTGCAGGCTGTCCAGAGTGGATGGGCGGTAAGGATGCGGCAGCTTTGAGTGCTGGAGGCACACGCTGTATGGGGCTGTGGGGTGATCATGGTCACTAGCCTCCCCCAAAAGCAATCGTGCAGTCCAGGGAGCACGACTAGAACAGATCCCCAAGCTATCGGCTTCAAATGGTTAAACAGGAATGAATTAGGGAAGCCCCAGCCAGGAAGAAGAACCCCCTTACCGTCTTCAGCACAGCTAGTCCTCCACGCTGGGACCCGTCCGCTGCTGCTCTACTGCACTGTAAGTGAACGGTCCCTTGGCCTCACTTATTCCTTGTCTCCCTGGGGCTGCTGGTATTTCAGGTCCACGGGGGGCGGGGGAGGCTGTGCACACTCCCCCAGAAGCCATCCTGTCCATGGCAGAGACCTCGGTCTGGAGAGCTGCTGGAGGTCAGTGGAGCCATGGGAGGTACATGTAGCTCCATGGGGGTCAGGCCACTGGAATCAATGGGAGCCAAACCTCCTTATGGCAAAGCTGACTTGGGCCCAGTGTCTCTGCCCCCGCAGCCCAGCCCAGCCCTACAACTGAGCCCGGCAGCCAGGTGGTCCCAGGGCCTGGGGGCTCCCCAAAAGGGAGCAGGGGCTGCCGGTGCCCCCTGTGCCTTGCAGCCCCAGGTGCCCAGGTGGGCCTGGCCGGGGCAGGGTGCTGAGCTTGTCAGGGCCCTGCCTTGCCAGAGGTGTCTCTGGGGCTCTGGGGGTGGCTCTCAAACAGGTTGTGACAGGGCCACAGTCCCGAAAAGGTGAATGGGAGCCTGAGGGCCAATGGCTGTTTGTTTATCAAGCCAACAACCGCGCAACAAAAGGTCAGACCCTGTTGCCGTGGGAGATGGTTTTTTGAAGCCTCCTACAGTCCTCCCAGTGGCCAGCTGAGACTGACCTGTCCGCTTGTCAGCTTGAGTTACGGGTGGTATTTGTGCCGACTGGACACCCCAGGTCCAACCATCACCCGGCCTCTGGGGGAGGGCTCCTCTACATCCGAGCGGAGTCGCTCACAGACAGAGTCTCTGATCCAAACACCCCCATCTCTGGGGAAATTCGGACCCAGGCATTTCGTCCCAGCTCATTCTCCGGGGCACCGGGACAGTCGCAAGGATGGAGTCATGGCGGATAGGAGTCTTTTCCTTGCTTGAGCTGAGCAGAGCTCCGACGCTTTCCCTGGGGGGGGGTTGAAATGGCTCAGGTAAAGATTCCCCTGCTGCATCCCTGGAGCCAAACCTGAGTCCGTACCCAAGGAGTCTGATTCATTTGGGCCATTGGTTGTCTCTGATCTGCCAGGAAGGGAAACAGAAGGGAGCCGTAGTGCCAGACAGGGTGCACACCTGGTATCTGGAGGGCAGCAGGAAGCGGAGAAGCACAGTCTGTCTAGTCGGAGGTTGCAGCATAAATCCAGGCAGAAGGAGAGCTGGCTCCTCTTCCTGTCTTTGCCATCACCTTGCATATAACCTTGGGTAGGGTATTCCCTTAGACGGAACAAACCCTGCCCTTACCAGTCAAGCCCTGCTGAAGGGGGTGGAGGAGAACAGAGCCGCTGGTTCATACAAGAGCCATCCAGCAGGCACGAGACCACTCCGACTGGGCACTGGAGAGGCACCGAGCTGCTTCACTGCTGCCCATACTACATAGCAGCTTCTCGTTTGTTCATCTCAAAGCGCCCCGCAGACTTGGGGAAGAATCGCTATCCCCAGTTCATAGATGGGGAGCCTGCAGCACAGTGCTGGAAAGTGACTGGGCCAAGGTCACACAGAGAGTCAATGGCAGAGTCAATAAAAGGACACGGGCATCCTGATTCCCAGCCCTGTACTCCGTCTACAAGCATACACCACCTCCCCTTGAGAAGGGGCAGCAAGCACCCTGGCTACAGATGACAGTGCCCCTTGAGAGCTAGGTAAGAACTGTGGGCTGGTGCAGAGCACCCTATGCCCTTCTCCCACCAGCACGGCCCAGGGCAGGGTTTGGATTGTAATTTCCTGTGCCTCAGTCTGCCCATCTGTGAAATGGGGATGATAATCCTGCCCTGCCCTGCAGGGGGCAGCAAGAGTGAACTCACTCATGCGTGCAAAGAGCTTTGAGGCCCCGTGAGGGAAGGCTTTAGTGATGGGACTCCCTACTCCCCTGACTCCTGGCCCAGCTCCCTAGGGCTGTGGTTCCCCGTTATTGTGGGACTGTGCCTTTGCCAATGGGCCGCCTCTGCTTCCAGAGACCCAGCCCCCCCTTGGGTTTGGCTGTCCAGCCCTGTTGACACGGGCACAGTGAGTGCAGCCAAGGTATGTCGCTAACAACAAAAGCCGCTCCCAGCCCAGCTCATCCTCAGATCTGCCGTGGCGGGAAGGTGAGACGCCAGTGGGAAGAGAAGCTCTCCATGCAGACTGCAGACGCCAGGTATACGCGGTGTATTTCTGCGGCTTGTCTGGCTGTGTGTGTGTGCCTTTGTGTGGGCCAGGATTACAGCCAGGCCTCCCAGTCCAGAGAGGGGCCAAAAAATCAGCAGCCTGAAAAGCTGCTAAGTTCAGCTAAAGAGCCAGCTGCTGCTGGGAGCTGGAAACCTTTGACCTGTCTCAGTGTGTGTCCGAGCTCTGTTGCACCCTGCCTACTGCGGGGCAGCTGCGCTGTATGAGCCCATGGGGAGGGGTGTTGCTGTGTGACCCGGGGGAGAGGAGGCCTGGGTTCGAATCCTGGCTCTACTGCCAGATGGCCTCGCACAAGGTGTTTATCTCCCTGTGTCTCCACCCCCACTCCCACGACGGGGGTAGTGCCAGTGAAGAGCTACTGATCAAAAGCGCCCCTGTGAGCTGGCTGCTCTTGGCCCCGGGGGCGAGCTCCGAAGAGCACGGCAATGCAGAGTAGTTGAGCTCCGAGCGCGTGGAAATCGAGGGGGAAGGACCCCGCAGCACTGTATTCCCAACCCCCAGATCCAGAGATCCGTTGGGGCGACCGCATTGGCGCCCGTGTTCCTCGCTTCCCACAAACGCCGGGGGAAGGGGATTTTGGCCTGCGTGGCTGCTTAGCCAAGAAGCAGAGACAGCGCAATGTGCTGATAGCCAGTCACATGCTGCAAAGAACGTAGCACAAGGTCTAGCCCAGGCCAGGGCCATCCCGAGGGGGGTGCAGGGCCTTGGCTAACCCCCTCTAGGCCACAGGCCCCGCCCATTCCTCCCCAAAGCCCACCCCTGCTCCGCCCCCTTATCTCTGGATTTACCCTAGTGTGTCTGCCCTCAGTTGACACGGCTCGGTGGGTGCGTGATGACTGTAGCACTTCTTCCAAACAGGAAGACACTAGCCATGGACGATAGTCTGGAGGCCTCCTGGCGGAAGGAGAAGCTTCTAAGGACTGTTTACACGCTGCAAGTGACATCAGACACTACCCTCCAGAAGGCCAGCCCGCTTCTCAGCAGCCAGCGGGGCCTGGGCATGGTGACAGGACACCAAATCCACCAGCTGGCTGAGAAGGCCAAGGTCATCTGCCACGACCTGGACAACATCAGAAACCTCCTCCTCTACCGGGAAAATGACCTGGTCCGGCAGATCCCCAACCCCGACGGCTGCCGCTACGGGGGGCCAAGTGGGATCCACTGCTCGCTGGATGGCTCTCTCTATGTGACGTGTGAGAATGCGCCCTGGGTCCACAGCCTCTCTCTCTCAGGCCGGGCTCTGCCGTCCTTGC